CACTCAAGGCAGCACCTCCCCTACAACCCAAGAAGGACAATCCACCATTTTCTGACAGGAAAATCATGCATGAAACAGCATAATAGTAGCATAAGAGTAAAATAACAAATATTTTCTACTTATCATGGTTGTTGGGTTTGTTAGGTGTATTGTCATCTTGTCTTTTTGTGTTTCTTTTTTCCAGTCTTTGTTCTGTTAACAGTTTAGACGAGGTGCTGGACTGTCATGTCCCCAGCTGTTTTTACTCTGCAGTACACCTTTAAATTTCAGCCTGTCACCTGTTCTCTCTCCAATTCAACTCAGGGTACATAAGCTTTAACGTCTTTATTAATCACCGTCAGATCCTCATGAGTTGTTGTCATGGTTGTATCATTTATATTTTTTCTCAGCACCCCTTGTTTTTGGCCACTTGCCTGCTCTTTTAATTGTCTAAGTAAAACTTGAGGTTTATACCTGCCTGTTGGCTGCCTTCTTTTTTGCCTGTACACTTTGGACCACCTCATCAAACCACCACACAACTTTCACGCCTATAGTTTATTAAATCATCTTTGAATAAGATTTAAATAGTTTTTTTAACTATTCTAATGCTTATCTACTAACTTTGCTCTTTATGGTTTTCACAGTTTAGGAAGAGCATTTCTGATTTAGCACTCACATCATTGACAGACAAAATATTGTGAAGAAAAACAACCAGGTCAGGCTCTTTCATTACATCAAAGCCTCAGCAAAGAAAAAGCAGCATAAAAACAAATATATCTGGTTTTGAAACTTTGGTTTATTGCCAATAATCAGTACTGTTCTCTAATCAAACATTTCATGAACATCATCAGAGTTTTTTTTAACAGTGATCAGAAGTTTAAAGCCTGTCACAATGTTCTGTCTTTTACTGCAGCAGTGGGTGTTTCCAATGATAAACAGAAACTTTACACATCATATTTTGTTTAATTCTCACATTTTTCTTCCAAGAAACAACAGAAAAAAGAAACAAATCAGTGCATCCACAGTAGCAGGATTGGTGAAGTTATTCATCATGAAGTTTGGAGCTGGATGATATTTTCAAAGCGTGCAGCGGACAGAGCTGAATGCTAATTCAAGTCAATTCAGTTTATTTATAAAGCGCCAAGTCACAACAGAAGTCGTCTCAGGGCACTGAACAGAAACATTCATATATAAAAATAATAATTTAACATTATTTATCTGAGGAGCAGACTGCTTTGAATTTAACTTCATCGTAGACTCTCATCTTGAGCAAGCATGAAGGCGACAGTGGAAAGAAAAAACTCCCTCATGAGGAAGAAACCTTGAGCAGAACCAGGTTCAGGACAAGCGACCATCTGCTTCAACCAGCTGGGTTTGAGAGGAACAGATACACAATGGCAGGTCAAGAATCACATGTTAAGTTAGAAATAGTATCAAATGAAAACTATTCAATTTTAACAATTCATTTAAGGAAATGAGGTCAAATTGTCCTCTACTAGTCTAAGCTTAACCTCGTAAGACCCTAACTCTTGCATGACATGTATTAGTAATTCTTATAATGTCCACATTGGATGCCAGGTCCTAGTAAGGCAGCATAACAAGCCAACCCTAACTATAGGATTCATCAAAAAGTAAAGTCTTAATCCCAGCCAAAACTGGATAATGTGTCAGCCTTACAGACAGAAATTGGAAGTTGGTTCCACAAGAGAGGAGCCTGATAACTAAAAGATCTTTCTCCCATTCTGATCTCATGAGTCTGCTCACAGACTCATGTTCATGTTTGTGCTTATGTTCAATGTTTTTATGTTATGAGTGCTTAGTGTATATTTAGTTGATGTTTTTCTTAGTTCATATCTTAGATGTTATTACTGTTGTTCTTTTACATTTTATTGTTGAATGTAACTGGGACCTTGTGTACATAATTTCACTCCACCACATGTACCACATGAGGTGTGAATGACAATAAACTCTGACTCTCTCTCTGAAACTCTCGGGACCACAAGTAAATCTGCAGTCTGAGAGTGAAGTGCTCTGTTAGGAAAATATGGAACAATAAGATATCGAATAAAAGATGGAGCTAGGTTGTTGAGGGCTTTGTAGGTTAGAAGAAGGAATTTGAATTAAATTCTGGATTTGACAGGGAGCCAGTGGAGAGAAGCTAAACCTGGAGAGATATGATCTCTCCCACTAACTCCAGTTAAGACTCTGGCAGCAGCATTTTGGATCAACTGAAGATGTTTTGAAGTAATGCTACACAGCATTGGCCCCAAGCCGTCCTGATCAGGTGTTTGAGTGAGTTAGAACTGCACAGCTTTGTCATTGTTATGTACAGTTGTAATGGTTAGTGTAATTACTCTGTCTACTGCAGCAAATATTCTAATCTAAGTAGTGTCCAAGCGTTTACTGTCATATAAATCGCTAAATGAACAAACCAAAATGATCCACTCACCTGTATGTGGCGCTCTGACAATAGACTCAGAGCACAGAAACTTCAGAACAAAAGTGTGTCTTTATTTTCTATAAATAAAATGAACAAACGTTGAAACAGTCTATGGTGGATTGTTGAAGTTTTTACTAAATGCTTCACCGTTTCATGGGTGGAATTGAAGAAACCAGGCTTGACAGCTGTTAGACACCATCAGATCACGAAGGTGACAGCACTCCAAAATCATAACGTTTTTCCTCTTCCACTAAAACCAGCCAGGTCCTTTGTGTGGGCATGTTGGACAACTCCTTTTTGGATAATTTATGGGTAAGCTAAAGGCTCTGAAGTAAATAACGTCTGTGATGCAAACATAAGAAGAATATTTTACAACCTCTGCATCATGTAGTCCTGGTTTAGGTCAAGAATAAGGTCGAGCTAGAGTAGATCGTGTGTGTGGCCTTTTCACAAACAGAAAAAAAAAATGGAATTGTGTTGTTGTTTTTCCAAATTTCAATATTTTTCTTAAAAGCTCATAATTTCAACTAAACTCATTCAAATTCAAAATGATAAAACAGTCCTTTATTAATGCTTTATTTGTTGGCTAGTACTCCAGCTGTTAAACCTGATGAATTTCAGGATCACAGTTATCAGATCAATTTGTTACCTGCTCAGTAAAAACATTGTTCTGACAATGAGCACAGGAGCCTTGGGTTTGCACGAGTGCAAAATGTTGTAAAGAGCTGACAAAAACGGACGTGCTCATGAAAATCATAATCTCATCTGACTAAATGTTGCAAAATGTTGCTTCTTTAGACGTTTCCCAAAGGAAGCTGTAAAAGAAACAGCGTTTCAACACAAATGTTTCCGAACAGAAAATAAAGAGAAACCATCTGGAAAAATGTGTAACTTGAATTTGATTTAGTTGAACGGGTGAAGTGATTTTTGTTGTGAAATGAGCATCTCTGGACTCTTCTCTGATCAGGAGTATCTGTTTTTAAGAATTACTAAATTAAAACTACAAAAAACTGTTTAGAAATGTATAAAATACATTTAAATTTTGTTGTTTTGCAAGTAATTCTCCTGTGTTGTACGCTTTTATATGTATGTGTGTGTGTGTGTATGTGTGTGGGGTGTGTGTTCATATGTGCCTTTATTATCAAGCTCTACAAACAGTGATAACCAATACGTGATTAATTGCATACATTTTTTCTTTTATTAATTTAATTGAAGTAAAATGATCAAATAAAGACTCTTGCAAACATATGGCTTTTTATTTAATTGGAATGAATATTGTTTCGTTATTTCAAAAGAAACAAACACTTATCAACAAGTATTAGCTTTTGCTTCTTCTCTGTTTTTTTTTTTTTTTTTTTACAAATCTAAACAATTAACAAATGACATTTTAATGTGACATTTTGTATTTAAATACAGAAAGAAAGAAAACATAAGATAACCAAGCAAAACCAGAACAATAAACCACAGTGAAATCATCAGGAATGTACAACGCATGTTTTTGTGAATTAAAAATAACAACGTAACCAAAATAAAGGAACAGACGTAATGCTAGCAATGAAAATATTCTATTTAATACAGTATATTTTTGGCTTATTTCAGACAACAAGTTTATTAATAGAATTTACAGTTCAGTAACAAGTTTGTTTAGCAGTTCTGTATTTTTGGGATGCTCATGTGTGGGACTGGCATGATAAAAAGCTTATTCCCCCCATGAATTTTATCAGTGTTTGACTCGTTCACAGTACATGCTTCAAGCATCCAGACATCTTTCCACCGATTGTCCAGTCAGTCGGCTTCCCTCAAGACAGAATCAATAGAAAAGCAACGCCTCATTTCAACTTAGTCTAATGAACAAAACTTTTTATTAACATGCAACAAAATTCCAGTTATTTATGAGACTTGACACCTACAATGCTGTCAATCAAAAAGGAAATGAGTAAAGACACAGTGAGCCCCTTAATACTGCATATCTCTCAAAATGAATACAGATGTTGCTATACATACTAAACTGAGAAAAATCTTTGGTCGATATTGGTAGTAATTAAAATAACAGTTATTAAAGACCAATCATTTAACACCTTTACAATAAACTATTGGTCAAACTCACAACACTACAGCCTTTTAACAAGGAGTCTTACTGAAAGTCATTGATTAAACGAATAAACGAATATTTGTAGAAGTTACTTCACAACTGCTTTGGATCGTTCTATTAAAATGTACTTGCATAATTAAGTTTCATAATTTAACTCTCACTGGGACAACGACAACAACAAAAATAGATTTGAACGGGGCGATTAGGGAAAATTATTACAAAAGAGAGAAGCCACTTTACAACAAGACTCAGTTACTTAAAGTAGAAATTATTTTACAGACATGTGATGACATTAAGCAATTATACGTGTTGACGGAATTAATATTTGTAAAAACTGAGAGATGATTGCAACATTAATAGCATTTGATGCCACTGATAGGTTCCCAACTGTTTGATTGTTTCTCTTGTTCTTTTTCTTTTTTCTCTCCTGAAAACATCAAAAGTGTGTGGACTGTGGTATTATTTCCTAAAAGTGCTAGTTTCACTTTGTGACTCACAAAAAAAAAAAAAAAAAAAAAAAAGATGAAAAATGCATTGGCATCTGAGATCAAATCTTTACTCTTGGTCCATGGTGGTACCTGAGTTAACAGAAAGGTTCCGGTGTAAGTTCGGGTTCTGGCTGTGCCTGTTTCTGCTTCTCACGGAGGAGAAGGACGTGTCACAGCCAGGGACCTTACACTTGTGGAGCAGGCGCAGATGAACAGTTTTGTAATGTGCCCTGAATGTTCCCTTGTTGCTGTACACCTTTTGGCAGACGTGACATGTAATTGGAGATCCACCTCCACCTCCCTGAGGCCCACTTTGTCCACCCCCACCACAGCCCAGGTTCCTGTCTTCCAAGTCCTCACCCCCTGGCATTCCCGCACCAACTCCATCGCAGCTTTCATCACTGTCATCTATGGGAAGCGCCTCCTCACCTTCGTCAGCTGCCTCCCTGTCTTCGCTGCCGGCTCCGTCAGAATCCCAGGATGACTGAGCGTGTCTGCTGTCACGAGGTGGGGCAGACGTGGAGGTGCTCAGGTCCAAGACCGTCCCATCATTTCTATTTCCACCACCTTCTCCTCCTTCCAGATCCTCAAGTTCTGCAATGGGAGACACCTCGGCGCTGCTCAGTGCTGTAGGCGTTTTGCTCATGGGAAAGACCAGTCCCATTCGGTTGTGTCCTCGGAAAATGACAGAAGTATGATTCGTCTGGTCTCGATGGGGAGAATCTTTGTCTTGGCAGGTGTCTGGGACAACAGAGTCTCTGTCTCTGCATTGTGATGAGGGTGAGCAGAGGGCAGTGGCTGGGGTAAGTGAGTCTTTGGTCAGCAGCTTGTGGTGCAGGTTTAGATTTGCACTGTGTCTACAAATAAAAAACAGATTGAAATCACACGGTGTTTTTATGCTCCCTAAAAGCAATGCAAGAAGCTGTATTGTATTATTACATCACATTTGTACAAACCAGACAGAGATGTGGGGTAGATAACATTTTCTTTGTAGTTGTGTGAAGAGAGGAGTATTTCACTGTAACTATAGCATTGTGAGCACATGACAGAACCTATTGTACATGTGTTGTACCACAAAAGCGCTGAAACTTTACAATAACTGCAACAGGTTTTCTGTGACCTCCATTTAAGAGCAAATTTCTTTGATCTAAAATAAGTTTGATCTCAAAAGCTTGACAGCAGTCCAAGTAAATGCTTGAATTATACATTTCTATGCCTTTATTAACCCCTGAAAATCCTTTATTTAGATATTTACTGTTGCTTACACAGAAAACTGTGTTGGAAAATGGCTCACAGTTTGATGCAACACATTCTGTGTAACACATAAATTGCAAAATAAACCATATCAAGAGAACTAAGTTCCAATCTGAAGCCAAAGTAATCCCACTTTAGTTGTGTGTACAGGTGATTCCAGCTAAAACAAAATATTCTGGATGCTTTCATGAAAGCAAAGGCCAGTTTGTGAGGTGGGGGTCAGTACACACAGGCCCATTCTCGCTTACCACCCATCTTGTGCTGTTTCTTACTATAAAGGCTCCCACAGACTTGTGCGGTCCTCAGGCCGCGTGGAAACTGTGCACTCTGTCCGCAGAGGGTTGAGACTTCATACTTGAGCGTCCACCCTGACCGGCTGCAGTCAGCTCCGCAGGCAAGGGGCATTTACCTTTGGGACAAATTGAGTTTGCCCATTGGTCATTTGCTGACACGCCTACTGGACTGATTGACAGGATGCCAAAAAAAAAAAAAAACGAGAGCTGGCAAGCGGCAGCGGTGTTCTGTGTTTATATGTTGGTAATAAAAAGTTCTAAAAAAAAAAAAACAGGGAGCGCTGGCCCTGCAGCCCACACATCAGACCAGCCCACACAGGAAATCTCCAGACCTTCCCGCAGCCATGCTGGGCCTGATTTTAATTCGCTCGTGACAAATTCCTTCATTTGTCACAATTTCAGTCATGGCGTCAACGGACGAGGAGGAAGAGATTACTTGCCTCTTGGAGAAAAAACAAAAGAAAAGGCCATTAAACCAGATCAGGGATGAAGAAGGGAAATTTTAATACATTGGTGTTGCATACAAAACAGTCCGTCGCCGAACAGTTCATTGTGAGACACCGAGTACACGTACGTAAAAATTGAGCTTTGCACGGACATGCCCAGCGGGCGTCCGCTTCGAGTCTAATCCGGTACGCGTGGATCTCTGCAGACTGACGTACGCCCAAGTATGTGCAAGCCTTGACTCTTCTCATTATGCTGGACCCCAGAATAACTGGCTTCCTGTATTTCCTCTGGACTTGACCAAGCCATACTCTAGATCTAAAGTTCAACCACCAGGCACTCACCAAAAAGCATACAATTTACTCAAATGGCTATAATTTTAATTTTAAGTTTGAGTTGTTTTAGATGATGTTATTTAGCTCTAAATGGGCCCTCTTCTAAATAGTTGTTAGTTTGATCTCATCATGAAAACTCTCTGTTACTCTAAATATTTTCTGACTTCTGTCTACTGAGTACATGTATATTGCACCAGTTACTCAAGCATACTTCATACAACAATAAATCTGAACTATCTGTTCAGGAGTGAAATGAAAAAGTAAAAGCAGAAGATTGCCCATCCTGATATTTATGGGTCACAGTTCCATTGCATAATGTCAACCATACTCTACCAAAGAGTGACTTATTGAAAAAGATAATATCTCATAATTTTCTTTAACAGCTTTTGTTGATTGGTACTAATGGCTTTTGGAATTTGCTGGACAAGAAGGTTTGCAAAGAGAAACTGCTCTGCATTGGAAGGCCACAAGCTGAGATTTGAAACCAAACAAATAAGCAACATGGTCTTTTAACATATGTACATGAACACCAAAAGTTTGTGTTCAGTAATCCAGGTATAAAATCCAACAATGTTCAGTCAGGTCATCTGGACGGTTTCTTTCTTTCTTTTTTTTTTTTTTTTTTGAGCTGAGACGTTTCGCCCTCCATTCATTCATATGTACACAAAGTTACAAACTCAACCAATTAGGTGCCCAACTCCCTCACAGTTTGTCAGAATTGTATCCATATGTTATTAAAGCAATACATTTTGGAGCCATGGACCATTAAACTTAACTTTTTCTTGTGAGACAAGGCTATTGTTATCCATTAGTCTCATAAAAGTCACATATTTTGAAAGACTAAATAAACTGCCAGTTGTAACTAACATCCTTAGGGTGGTTTTTATTTTTTATTTTTTTACTTCTGAAACTAATATTGCACACATCTGATCATTTAAGGCAGAATATTAAGAAAACAAAACTTCTTCTCACCTGTCTCTGCTTCGGCGAGATGGAAATGTGGCATTGCATCCGTCCACCGTGCACATGTGCGTCTCCTTCAGGTGGACATTTTGGTAGTGCATCTTGACGCTATATGGGTTTTTAAAGGTCTTACTGCAGATCTCACAGTGGTGTGGAAAGTCTGTATCAGAGTCAGGGTGAGACAACTCTGTGTCCCCATAATCATCTGTATACCCATCATGTCCTCCCCTCTCTATGAGTTGAAAGCCACTCCCATTAGTCAACTTGTGATCATCTTGGTTCCATTTAAGCTCTGAGATCTTGTCAGATATGTGCAGTGAGGTAACGTGCTCCTTGTCTGCAATCTCTTTACTGCCATTGGTTTCCTGACAAAGTGAGTTGTTGTCACAGTGGTTTTCTAATGACCTGGTTTCTAATGTGGAGGATGTGCAGGTGATGACCCCGATATCTGTTTGCTTTGGCCCTCCATGTTTGTCTTCCCTCTCCACTGAGTGCCAGTCTAAAGTTTGGTCATTCAGATGTTTGGTACTCTCCCTTTCCTTTTCATTGCCAGTGTAAGCTTCTCTTGCTTCCTTCTCTTCAGGTTGTCTTGGACACACATACCTTTCTCCTTGGCTACCATTATAGATGTCTTTGTCCTCATCTCGTAAAAGAACTTCGTCTTCAGAACTACTCTCCATATCTATCTGCTCATCTTGCTCAACCATCTCTTTTTCAATTTTTATTGGCATACTTGACTTACGAGATTTTTTCTTTGGTATAGGGTCTGTTATACAGGGCTTGGGCGCTGTGATGGGTTTAACAGGTACAGAAGATGACAAAATAGGTAGAGAAGGTAGCGTTCCTGGTGTGTTGGCGAGCTCTGCTGGTGTTACCAGGCTTCGATAGAAAGGCAGGACTGGCTGTACTGTTTTCAAGTTAGGAAAGAGAATGCCACTCTGGCCTATACTAGGGAATGAGCTGCTGTGGATTTTAGGGCTACTGTCTACATGACTTACCATGTAGCTGGGCATGGACTTGTGACTTTCTGTAGAGCAGATGGACATCTGACTGCTGTATTCAGCCCTCTTATCTCCTTGAGAACTTTCATCAGCAGACAAGCTGCCTCGCAGATCTTTGTCTCGATTGTTTCGATTCATAGGCATGTGCAGTCTAGGATTGGGGTTAGCACTATGACGATTGCGACTGCGGAGTGAGCTGAACACCATGTTGCAGCCTTCGATTGTACACTTGTGCTTGATTTTAAGATGTACTGCATTGTAATGGATTTTTAGTGTGCCTTTGTCATAAAATGTCTTCTCGCAAGCACTGCAAAATACGCGACCCTTCTTCAGAGAGCCTACACCCCCTGGGACCCCTCCACTGCTACTTCCGTTTCTTTCTAGAGACCGCAGCTTTCCATCAGGTGACATCTGTGGAGCATCAGAGCTCATGGAGGGTGTACATGGTGTGGATGGTCCATCTGAATAATTGTCACTGGCAGAGAAGTCTTCAGCCTCAATTTTTGCACTTGTGGAGAGATTATCCATCGCCTTTTCTCTACTTTGATCTAAATCATTAGTGAATGAAATGGACCTGGAACCTAGAAGGCTACTGTCTGAGGAATGTGAAATAAGGAAGGGGTCATCTGTTCCAAGGTGGTTCCTCCCATGATCAGCTGTCTTTTGACTTTGCTGCTCTAATGAGGCACCACATGGCTGCTGGTGCGGTAAACGTTGCTGGTGCTGCGGTTGAAGTGGCGAGTCTAAAAATGGTGCTGGCACAGAGCCCAACAGCTGGAATGGAAGCATAAAGGCCATGCTGTTGATAAAGTTCTCAAAGTGGTGCATGCTACTGCCACTCATCTTCTCAGCTTTGGATGGAGAGAGGTTGGCAGCAGTGCGAGGTGTGTTGCGCTCAATGAAAGTGCGGATATCTGAGTTGGTGCGGGTGCTGGGAACCAACACTGCCTGGCCCTCTTTGTCCTGCAGAGCCATGAGTTCCACAATGGATTTGGTTTCACCAAAACGCAGGAATTGCTGCAGAGTGACAATCTCCTCCTCAAAGGTCATAATGGCCCATCGGTCCAGCACCTTCCCAGCAACATCCTGTGAAACAGTGCAGAAAAAGAGAGAATGCAGTACAAGAAACAGGTAAGAACAATATCATGAAACAGATTAGGCTGAGTAGGAAGTGATGAAAAATAACCCAGTAAAAAAGACACTGTTGCACATTACAGGTCTGTTTTCTTCATTGAAATTTTACGGATTTGCTTGCTACAGTGATCAGAAAGTGCTTTTTATTGATCAAGCAGGTTTTCTCTCTCTCTCTCTCTCTCTTAGCCCAGCACTAATCACATGTGAGATGCAGTTCTTTGAAAGTAAGGAGCAGCTCTTGCTTGCCATAACCAAGATTAATATTTTATCACAGAGCATTCATTGGGTGTCTGTCAAGGACTCCGAGATAGCATGAATTAAACGCAGGCCAGCTTGAATACTTGATGATGATCGAAGTGAGATCTTGTGCTGGCATAGTGCCTGCAGCCTGAGCCTCAAACAGCTTGGCAGCAGTTCCAATGGAAATCTGGAGCAAAAGACATAATATTTACAAATCTACCCGGCACAGTCTAGAGACTTCCCAGAGCTGATGGAACCACAGCAGCAAGCTGGGGGCATCTACAGGCTACCAGAAAGGTTATTGACTTTGGTTGGCTCATTACATCTCCATCTTTGTTCTAAGCCACGCTTCTTGACCTTCCTGTCTGCGTATTCCTCCCTTTTCCCTCAGAAATATTTTCACTTTCAGACGTTATATACATCAAAGTGTACAGCTGTGTTTTTCAGGTGTCTGACACAGCATAAAGGCATACACAGTTTTTCTTATTCCGTCCAACTCTTGGTAGGTCTTTTGTTCACACTACAAAGTACATAGTCATAGAAATACTTTCCATTTTAATGTCTTTTAAATGGAAAGTCTTTATAATCGCATTTTTCTGGGTTTTATACACTTTACTTTAGTAATTGTGAAATGGGCGCCGAGTACTTTGGAGAAGCAGATGACCTTCAGCTCATACATAACTCTGCCTAAGCTCACTCTGTACAAACACATGCAGAGAAAATTTGGAGGTAATCTTTATATTAATACTAGTTTTAGAGTCTTATTTTCACTTGTTTACTTATTTATTGAAGCATTTATCCCTGAGAAGTAAAACAAAAGTTGATATTTAACGAGACACACCTCAACGTTTCAATATATTTCTTAAATTCAGAAGAAAGGGTATACAGTAATCCATTGAATGTTATGAAGTCAGAATGTCAGAATGCAGTAAGCACTTTTGAACATATCTTTGCAACTTGTGTTAGTACCGTATTTTCCGGCATATAAGTCGCAGTTTTTTGCATAGATTTGTCAGTCCTGCGACTTATACACCGAAGCGACTTATATGCGTTTTTCCATATTCGTAATGCAATTTTTGACTGACGCTTTAAATTTCTAAGAACTTCAACAGCGAGTCCTCCCGTGCGCACTCGCTTCACTCAGCTGGTGCAGGCAAAGGCACGCTGGAGAGCTAGCGGCTCTGGCTGCAATGGATGGACGGTTTGCGCAGCGATGCACAGGTGAAATGAAGTTGTTCTGACCATTAAATAAATGCATGATAAACATGAAGTGTCAGCGGTGATGTATAATAAATGCACTTATATCCCAAAGTGACATATGTTTATTTCCTCTTCATGATGCTTTTTTTGACTCATGCGACTTATACGCTGGAAAATACGGTAATATATATGTAGGATAAAAGTGTTATTCAGGCAGTAATTGCATTCATGTGATTTTTGGAAATACAATCTAGAGTAGCATTCCACGTAGCAATGGTTTTAATCTTAAGTCTCAAGAGACTCATTCTACAAAATGTAAATTTATTTTGATTTCTACTTCTTGAGCTGATGACTTGAAGCATTAACTGATGAAGGCATGATTATAACAACAAATCACAAACAGAAACAGAAGCATGTGCAGGAGCCTTCTCACCTGGAGCACGTATCCTCGTATGTAGTCTTGCAGTGTCCAGTCAAGTGCGTTAAGAATCTGGATGACCTCCTCCTGCTTTAGGACAGAGAAAAGACGGTCTAGGAGGATTTTCAGGCGGATCGGGATGGCTTGGGTGCCGTACAGCATCAGGCTGCAGATGTCGAACACTACATTGGAGTGCACAATCTCCACCTGGCTGCTCTGGAACATGTGGTGCACCTTCAGCTTGCTCAGGGCTAGAATAAATGTGCCAAATTTTACTGGATTAAATTTTAAAAAATTATGCTTAAAGCACAAAAAAATGACAGAACAAGAAGAAATAAAAGTATGCTTTAAAGACGAAAAGCAAGAAGAGTGCTAGAAAAGGTATAAGCATAATTTACACTGTATAGGCAATATAAAGTTAACAAGTGAATGAAAAGGACAAAAATCAACAGTTCATATAAAACCCACATTACATAGTCAACAAGATTCATTAGTATTCTGCCATTGAAAGCAGGTAAAGTTATGATTTATTTACAAGAATGTTGAAATAAATTTTGTGCAAATACCCACGACATGATATACTGACAAGATGACTAGTTTAGAATTTTAATGACGTATCAAAATTTATCGGAAAAAACAACTGAGTCAAAAGGGAACGCAGATTAAACATTGCTGTTTTTAAATTTGTGGGATCTGCAGTCACAGGAATAGACAGTACACCTCTTTCAATTCTGGGGTTTTACATGTCAGAGCATAATAAAAAGGATCAGAACTTTACCAGGTTTTAAATGATCAAAATATAATCTTAAGTGTACAAAAAACACACAGTAGAGTCCAACATTTTTGAAACAAAAACAAAGCCAAATTTGAAAATATTTGGAAAACGTGTCCTCATTTCTACTTTTATAGGATTTAGGAGAAAATGAAGGAGCTGCTGCTGAACATGACTTAGCTTCACAAAGTTCTTTCTGAATAAACCATGAAACATCTGAAACGATGTTCTGTAGACTGATGAGACCAAAGAAGACACGTTTGGACTATGTTCAGAGAAAGCTAGACACAACTTATCCGTATTAAAACCTCATACCAGCTATCAAACAGTGGTGGAGGGGTCATGATTTGGGCTTGTCTTGCAGCCTCAGGACCTGGACACTTCAAGGTTATGAGCTCCTACTTAGATCAAAGTATTCTACAGTAGAGCTGCACGTGAGACCACCAGTCCGACACCTGAAGCTCGGCTAAAATGGAGTCACGCAACAAAACAACAATCTCAAACACAGCAACAAATCTACAGCGGAGGGGCTGAAAAACACAAGTTGCTGCAAAAGTCCAGTCAAAGTTCAGTTCTTGACCTGATTAAAATGCTGTGATGGGACCTTAAGAGTGCCATGCAGAATTAAACGTCTGCAAACCTCAAAGAACTGAAGAAATGCTGAGTACAATGAGGGAGATGGAAAGTCAACAAGACTTCAAGTTACTGCTGCTATAAGTGCTTCTAGAAGCTGCTGAATCATTGGGTGGATGTGATTTTGACCCACAACTTTTTGTTAAGTATAAGTGCAAGTGTTGTCATCACTGTATGGGAACATACAACGGCAAAATTAGTTCTCTGCATTTAACCTTTCACACTTGAGATAGATCCAGGTGGAGCAGTTGGCAGGTGCCCGGGGAGTAATTAGGGATTTGGTGTGTTGCTCAGAGACACCACCACATGTGGGCATGGCGAGGAGTCGAACCGCGGCTTTCTGGTCCCAGGCCGGCCGCCCTACCTCTACACCATAAAATGAATGACATGACGAAACCTTTTTGTGTGTTTTGGACACTTATTAGATTTTAGAACCTGGTTAACACCTGGTAAAAACAGATGCTTTTAAAATGCCTTGATGTGTAAATCCCCAGCATTGAAAGTGGGAGGAGTTTATTTTCCTTTTGACTGTATATCTAATAATTTACAACAGTTTAAAATAAAAAAACAAGGTTTTAGGATAAATTAATTCCTTTATTTAAAACATCTCCAATAACGGTGCACAATCAAGTGTTTCTGTGTGTTTCTCTCTGTCTGTCTGTTAGTAAAATATCTCATGAACCAGTTGACAGATTTTAATGAAACTCTTAAAAATGTGCATGTGCATCTACAGCTGGTTAACATTTGGACTTCAAGATGGTCATAAGAGCTAATCTGCCTAAAAGCACAAAAGTGACCATCACTGATCCATTGATACAATTATTGACCTAAATTTGATGTGTTATATCAGACTAACACTCAGCACACTATGTGCTAATGATGACAAAATTATAGATTTAAAAAGTGGCATGCAAGGCAATGGGTGATAACTGTGCTTCTTGCCACTGGTCTAAATGAAAAACTAAAGTGTTTGTTCTTTAAATGTCAAGAGTTTGTTTCGTGAACGTCTCAGCTATTTTCACACCAAAATTTACTGCAATTTTTGCAAACAATCCTGAGCTATAGTCATGTCTGTGTTTGCAAAAGTTCATTGGATTTAGTGGCCATCTTGAATTAAGTTGATTCTGAAGCATAATCATGAATGGTCTGATGATTACTTTCTGAGGGTTTCGTTAAAATCATTTGAGTGATTCCTGGGATATTTTGCTAACAGAAAGACAAACAAACAATCACACACATACAAAGGCAGTTAGAAAATTGCTTTCATGAGAGCAATTTTGAAAGCAAATGCTTTCATTGCAGATTTAGAGTTGTTGTAACTGTACAATAGAAACAATAAGGGATACATTGTAGTGCTGTTTGTTTGGAAATAAAATGATCCTCTATGTTATGGGGCCACCACTTATTGAAAACCTAAAGTCATAATTTAAATCAGTATATTTATAATTATATTAGCTTTTACTGTCTTCTATAGGAAAGTATTGTTCATAACTTATCACAACATCAGGTGCATAATTTTGTTACACTGCAATGAGGCTGTTTTATATTTCTCTGCTGTAGCGTCCATAAGACCCACTACACAGAAAAAGACTGGCTGAACAAGTGAACATTCGAAACCAGTATTGAAAAACAGACAAAAAGTTCAACAATGCATCACAACTATTTGTTTTTACATTGTTTTCCAGTCTTTCCAACCAGTCAGAAACCTTTAATAAGGTTCTTACCGTGTGCCACCCAGCCATGCTTGCAGTTTTCACACTGCCTCCTCTTCAGCTTCCCCGGTTTGAAGCAGTCACAGTTGCAGTTCACCAAAGTGCAGCAGATAGCCTGTAAAATTTGAATAATTACCATTATTTTCAAAAAGAGAGGAAAACACAACAGGTAAAATCAGTACCGTAGTTAAAATTTAGCATTATGTCTTAAATAAATAATAATGAATAAAAAGTTGTGTGTATATATATACATATATATATATATATATATATATATATATATGATGTTCCTGCAGAGGCTAGACAAGAGTGGTGAGTATTTGTTATTGCATCTGCTCTTATCAGAGACAGCACCATATAAATGTGCAAATGTTGTGCTTCCCAAAGACACTGAAAAAGTCAATAGAACATAGCTTTTTTCATGATTCTCCTAAAGGAAATAATTACCATTCATTTTTTACAAATACACACACATATTTGCATGTATAGTAAACAGTCTAAAGAAAATATATAGTTGTACAAGGAACATAAACTAGCATTTCAACTTAAAAACAAATAAAGTAAATTATCTGTAGTGGAGGTGGGAGTTGGATATAGTGAAACAGGGCATCAGAGTTCAGTTAATGTGTGCCCACAAGGTAAAGACTGTTTTTCACATTTGCAGTGTGACATTTCAAGGTCATACCATATTACAGAGGATATCATCATCTCATCATGCTTTGAGATAAGTGTAACCTGCTGTTGTATCTGAAAATGTAAATACTGTATTAGTAGGATGTTGGAGTGTGTAGTCATATAAAGGAGGTCTGAATGGTACTGAGCACACATCCATGTGGTGCTCCTGTGCCCAGGGTTTTAGGCTTGGGCAGGTGTGGAAACAAAGTTTCACAGTTTATGGTGACACTTGGTCAAAAAGTCCTTTATCCACAAACACAGGTGAATGCTGAGACCCAGTCACTGTAGCCTCCTGATCACGTTGCTGGGACGATGGTATTGATGGCTTGAACATACACTATAAACAGAATCCTCAGCCTTTGTTCCAAATATGGCATTGCGGTGTAGAGGACTGTGTCTTCAGTGGATCTGTTTGAGCAATGATACATACCTGCTTCCCTCATCCTTATTTTTCTACACTCCATTTGTGGTTTTTATATGTGTTTTAAGGTTATATTTGACAACACAACATACAAGTATTTCAAGTGATTTTGTCCCCTGTTGTGTGTCAATCTTAGCCTGTTTCTTTTCTCCGTAAGAACGAAATTAAACAAGTTCTTGTTTTAGCAATACAGCTGAACATGTCCCGTATACCCCAACAAGTGGCCACACAACCACTTCCTTTACCTGGCTCCAAAAGAAACAGAAAAAAAGGTAAAAGTATCATCAGATTTAGGATCAAAGCTGCTGTAGTTGGTGGTACATGTTGGATACTCTGGAGTGGTTGTGCTCTCGCACCTATCTCCCTCTGCATCTATAATGTATGAGCACTTGGATTTTAGTGAGCTGAATGTCTTGCTTCTTGCTAGTGCTCACTCCCTCTCCACAGGCAAAGAAAGAGAAAAGTGTGGGTAGATGGCTTCCTCCCCCTCTTCCTCTGGTTCTGCGCTTGAGGCTGAGCTTGTTCTTGTAATCAGGAATCCCATTATTTCACCTTGCAATAACCTCTTCTCATTAACATGAATAAACTGACCAGAAATGAAGCTGGCGGCAACTGGCTGGCCTCGAACCACAGCTGAGTAACCTCCAGTCTCGTGATGTCTTGCTTTTCTGTTCTTTTTTTTTTTTTCCCCTTCCTGTCTCTGTCCAGTTTGGACAAGCAAGCCGCCACGAGACAACTGCTGAGGTGTAAAAACCCTTTTGCTCATCTCTCTGAGACATAATCCCATCATTACAGAGTAGCGAGACCCAACATGGCCAAATTAGTTTAATCCCATCCCACTGTGGGTGCACACACCCCTGCTGCTGTTATCCCTAATATACATCTCAATCATGTGCCCTGTGCACACACACATGCGCACACACATTGGGTTTCAGAGTGTGATGCAGTCGTTTATCTTAATTAGCGATTCATTTCATGAGTTCCTGAGAGGAAGACAAAAAAAAAAAAAGAAAAAAGAAAGGAGGCACATGCCCCGCCCTGTCTCTTTCCCTTTGCTGTTGTCACAACAAAGCCGTGGCTGTTCACATGCATCAATGGAGCCAATGACAAGAAGACTAATTGCACAAAATGATGTGGGTCCTTCAGCGCTCTCCAAGCCACAGCTAACAGAGTAGCTTTTTGATAACACTGAGGTACGCCTACACAATATCATCAGCAATGCTCTCCTGTGCACCTTGATCACGCTGCACCTTTTCTAATGAACGTTTAGGAAGTACAGGAAGTTCAATACATGTCTAACATTGCATGGCAAAGATCCTCCAACTACATGACAACAATAGCACAATCTCATTTGTATTGAAGAAATAACAACGTTGGAAGACAGAAGGAAAGTCTGAAAAAAATCAGTGTATGAAGAGCATTTATTGAAATAAATGATAAATATTGATCAGTTTTGTCATCTGTTAGTGTCCATCCTTGACCCTGTGAGTCTGCCTACATGTTTCCATCACATCTCAAGGGTCCATTCTGTTTCCTGACACTTCAACTCCTGCTAATGAAAGCTGTGAAATTTAGTGTCACAATGTAGACCTGCTTTTGTGTGTTTGTGCAGTGGGGTGCACGTGCGCTTGTGTGTGTACTTGAGAGTAAAACAGTGATGAAAAGTCAATCTTGTTGGAAACGAGAGTGAACGTCGTGTCATGAAATCTCAGTCGTTTTTCTTCTTCTGACACGATAAACTCGAACAGCCTTGATTTGGCTGAGGAAGTTAAGTGATGCAGAACCATCTGCAAATATTCAGTGTTTTTAATTTATTTAGTGTTAGAATCTATTTAGTTTGTATGTTCATTTTAATTCTGCCTCCAAGTTTCAGATTAATAATCTGCTGCCTCACAACATCAAGGGTAAATAATCAGTTAACAAAAAGATGACACACCTGACCGTGACAGGAACTTATAAACTGCATCAAAAAATTGCCATATTAAATTTTAAAATAAATTTGTTTTTTATACACAATGAACTATTTAAAACACACTTGATCAGATTCATGTTGCAGCTTATGTGTAAAAGCACATTTTATGCAACATGTACTTCAGTTTTTTTATTGTCGTTTGTTTTGTTTGTTATAAATTTTTGAATCAATGTCAACGCACAAACTGCAGGTAAAGCTCGAAACCTGAAATCTGCTTTCTGCCTTTTTAATGTCAGTGCTGCGTAAAAACAGACGTGAAAACACTGGATGCATTTTCAACATGGGAACACTGCACAAAGTGAAAACTGCACTGCTTGTATTTGAACGAGAGTTAACGAAAAAATCTGTCAGTGTAATTTAAAGTTGAAAATCATTTTGTGCATGACTATAAAAACTGTTCACGCTTGAAGTTACTAAGGCGTGGTGAACGTCCACTATTCTAGTTATTTTCCATCAGTTCAACAAAAAGGTTTAAACAAATAAAAACATCCAAATAAATAAATAAGTGCATTGATAAATAAATAAATAAATTGTTAGAGATTTAGAAGATGTACCAGTTTATGGCTTTTGAGCAAAGTTTTTTTTATTTTTTTATTTTTATAATATGGCTGTAAAATCAAAACAATTGCTGATACATATTTATTTATTTATAGCAACATTTAAGGTACAAAAACAAATTCACACACAAAAAAAAAAAAAAAGATTGCAGATTTTTAAACGAGTGATTTATCCAGAAAAGTCTCAGGAATTCAGTGGGAGGACTTTTCTCCAGGAACTGTTCAGATATTCTGCTAACACTGCCTTCCACTGATAAAGCGTTAAACAGCCACCACGCTCTCCTCCACTCTTCAGCATACGTGTGACATGCATGTTTCTGTCTATTTGCTCAATACAAGTAAAAAAACTAAATTTATTCTTTAAAAAAAAAAAACTATCAAGCTATTCCTTGTTTTTATTTTGGCTGCTCCCTTCAGTGGTCACCACAGCAGCTCATCTGTCTCCATCTGACCTCCTCTGTCCCACCAACCATCTTGTCTTCCTTCAAACATCCATGAACCTTCTCTTCTATTCTCCATCTTCAACATCCTGTCTTCTGAATATCTGTTCGCTCCACCTGACCCGTCTCTCTGATGTACTCATTTCAAATTTCGTCCATTTTGAAAATGTCACCATCTTTACCTCTTCCTCTTATCTCCAAACCATCCATCACAGTTTGTAATCAAGCTGACAGGAAGATAGTAAAATGTAAACTTGTGGAAAATGCTTGCTAAAGTTACGAAACACGAGGTGGTCGACAGATGCCGCAATCAAACTCCAGCTTGGGATTTTCTTGGAAATACAGCAGCAGGTTAATAACCCAAGAGTATATTTTTAGTGATGTACATCAACATTAAGCTAAAAAGCTTGTCTGTTTCTGTGTTATTTACTGATGTTATGTATGCACCCACTCAATCCCATTCAGGTGGCGGGACATGTCAGTCCTGATTTGGGATTTTTTCCTAAATTAAAGCATAAAACAGGTTTAAAACAACAAAAAAAGGAAAAAAGAGACAACATGAGTGAGACCACTGAGCCCAAATCCAGCATGAAAACCTCTTGATCGAAACTCATCCAACAATCACACAAACAAATCTGCTACATGTTTCAACACTGAAACAGACAGGAGACAGCACAATTTTACCTGAAGATCCATGAGGAAAGAAAAAGTTGGCGTCTTTACAACAACAAGTGAAGAAACAAGGAGATGAGCTTGTGGCAGGGAGAGAAGAGGAGGAAGAGCAGCCAAAGTTTGGATGGCGTTCTGGTGTTGGTTGCTTCCCGTTAGTATCTCAGAGGGAGTGTTTGGCTCCGAGAGGCAGTAAATGAGAAGAACAAGTTAGTACACTGAAGCTGAGAGAGTTTGGCTTCCAGCTACGCTCTGATTAATATCACATCTCCCTCTCTTCTCGCCTGCCTCTTGACAATCTTGTCACATCTGGCTGACAAATCCTTACAAGCCTTTTGGTGGCAGCGCAGGATAAATGCAAAGGATGGCTGCAGTTGTGTGTGTGTGAGTGTGTGTGTGTGTGTGTGTGTGTGTGTGTGTTATGGGGTCAGGGAGGAGCAGATCACTGCTTCAGGAGACACTCACGGGGGTGAAAGGCTGGAGAAGATTCACTCATATTTCCCCCACCCTCACTTTGTCCCCTCATGGGTAGACATCATGAAGCTCATGGAGTTTAGCTCAAGTTGTCACCAAACAAGTAAAATAAAATAAAAACAGAAAGACGCACAAAGTGCATCACCAAAAGGATGAACCGTAACATCAACTCTGAATTATTTTCACTTTGAGCTGTACACCACGTGTGTGTGTGTGTGTGTGTGTGTGTGTGTGTGGTGCTGAGAGGCCCTGTAGTGCTGAAAGAAAACAACAGATATTTACCAAAATAAGAGTCAATGAGAGCAAACAACAGATCGAAGAGGTGCGACAGCAGCAGGACTAAAAAGATGAGAGGACGTTGGAGGAAAGATGTTTTGCTTTTCATCAGTTCTTTCACTCACAAACACACAAAGATGGAAGAACCGCTGGAACTGTTGCTCTTTAACGTTCAAGGAATATTCTGCCAAAAATTGTTTTATTGCTTTCATTTCTTAGTCAATTGTATTCCGTAAATCTTAATTTTTTGGAACAATTTGCAGATTATTATTGCTTTTTTGGTTTTATTTTATCTGACATTAAGGTTATTTTATCACAAAGTTTATGCACATTTGGGATTTTTAATGCACGTTTTTAAGCATTACGATAATTAAACTTTAATTAATGCAAATGCCAAAAAGATGCAGATGCTGCAGGTGTAAAAAAACAAACCATGCGTACCACATATTTATTTTTCTTCCTGAGTGATCGATGGCAGGCTGTACCACACACAACTTTTCATTCATTGAATCTAACGTCGCCACAGCTTTCAGTGAAAGTTTACACACAGACTGTGTCGTTTTGTTCCTGCAGGAAGTTAAAAGTGATTGTGTCTACGTTTGCAAAAGTTTCCCTGCTTCACCACACAGACAGAACAGCTGCTTCTGGACTGCAGAAACATGAGATATTTCTTAAATCATAATCCAGTAGTGTGTCCATCAGCCAAGAGTCCTGCAGGGTGTGTAGCAGTGAAGGAACAGGCCCAGGTAAGGCGGGGAGACACCTTAACCTTCCCTGGATCACACTTTCCTTCACAACAGACAAATACTGTTCCTCTGATAATAGTGCAACTGGTGATCACAATAAAGTAATAATGCACGTGTAGGATTCAATATGCAGTAAATAAAAAGTATACAAATACAGTAATAACATGAGAGTTAAAATAGCAGATCAGAGATGAAAAAATAATACTTAAAAAAAAAGAAGGTATTTTCTATGAAGTCTTGTAAGATGTGCCCCCCCAGATCAAAAGTGCTCTCATTCTGTGGTCTCTGTTATGTTTAAGACCGAAAGCGTTCCAGCTCATCTTGAAACGTGAGCGCTTTCATGCAGTTGTGAAAACTTGTGAGCCTCTGCCTCTTTGAAAAATAATTTCAAATTTAATTTCACTGTATTTTACAAGAAAACAGATGTTTTCCCCCAGTAAAAGTGACAAAACCTATTTTTACATCTAAAACTGACAGCAGAATAACAACATGCCTCTTTGCCCAGCTGATCGTGGAAGGTTTTAAAAAAGAACTTGTCTGTTTTAACTTGTGTATAAAGTGAAAGAGTGTCTGCACGTCTCCCACCTGACCCCCCACCCCCCTCAACCCAACCTCCCCCCAGTGTGTATCTGAGATGATGTGAGCAGGCAGGGAGACTGAGAAGAGCCGACAGCACAGAAGGAAAACGGCGTCTCTCTCTTACCTCAGCCATTGTCATTTAGTCGAAGGTTTCCAAGGAGACCGGGGAGTTTGCCATTCTCTGAGAGTCCCGCTGAACAACTGCCTCTAACTCTCCTGTCCACACAAGT